ATTTAAGTGCTTATGAAAACTCTTCTAATCCATGAAGAAATTGTGAGGGCATTTGTGCAAGGAGATGAATTGAAGATCTTTTTACCATTTATCATCTACTGTAATTTCAATCGTGTACCATGCATCATTTTACAGTTTGGATGTTGTAAGCTTCTCTTCCTATATGATTATGCTTATGAATATCATGCCGGGAGTGGCTCCACATGGTATCTGTATTCTCTTTTGAAGTTATTCTATGTCTTGGTAAATGTTTCTAACCAGGTCAAGTCATCTCACTTCACATTTCTTATTGGATCAATTCATGGGATTAGAAGCTTGAAAAAACCTCATTTTTTTTTTATCATGTCTCTTTATTTGATACCTTTTTTTTTATTAATTTACTTTCTGTATTATTTACACATCTTCATACATTCAACCCCAAATAGTCGAGACTTTACGAACTCTACTGTTGTTGTCGTTATATATTATATACAGATGAATTTTCATTCACATTTTCCGATAAATTTTGTGTAGTCCAGTATGGACTATTAGTCCATTTTAATATCTACTGGAGTATGCATGGTTACCTTTGATGGTGGTTGGGCATCAATGGAATCTAATCTGATTTACTTGACTTCAACCAACATGATTTACTTAGCTGAAATTTTTTTCTTTAATTCTAACTTGGATCAGAATTTTATTTATCCAACCTAACATTCATGGTGGTTGGACACCAAACTACCTAAAAATTTAAGCTCTTAAGGTGCTATTTAAGATCATCCAACCATTTAAATGATCAGATTATGCTGCCGAATTAGCAAATATTTCTCTTGTGTTACCTTGCGCGCTTTTGCTTGTGTGCAGGTGGGTGATAGATCCTCCTCTGGAAATCATTGTCCCTGCAAAGCGGACTCCATGGCCTGAGGCACCTCCTGACCTCCCATTTCAAGTGATAGCAGATGATGAAGATCATGTCGAAGTACATCCTTCAAAGAAAACCAGATCTTCCAGGTCTAAACGCATCTCTCGCAAGAAAAAGAAGCGTGAAACACATGTTGATGCACAAGTTTCCGACTTGTTCAACTGGCAAGAGAAGTAAAGATGGTATCTAGATTCATCGAGCAGAGAGGTATTTACCTGGCACATCCTATACTAAAGGTGGTATGATCCTTCCATATACTCACCATCTATTCTCTATCAGAGACTGTAATTATCATGGAAGTAGCTTCACCAAACAAAGCTGCAAACTGGCGTTCAGCATTCAAGATCTCAGTGTAGCAGCGGCAGCAACAAATTTGATTTGTGGTGAAGGATTTTCTTGATTTGCATTTCATCTGTGTTTCCGATTCATCAAATAGCATGAGCGCCTTCGAGTGATGCACTCGAGCTCTCTCATACATTGTTGTAGTTATCTTTCGGCCTCATTTGATTGTGTAGTTTTGTCAAAATGATGTTGTATTTTCCATCTCTAACAGGACCTCTACATTTCTTCATTTCGATAGATAAATTGGATTCTTTTGCCAAAAAGAGTACACAAAGTATTTGACTTTTGGTGAGTTGAGTTGAAGGGCCATGAGACTAACAATTGCTGAAAGTGGTGGCTAAAGAAGCTGATGTTCTTGGTGAAGGCTAACAATAAAGAACTTCGTTAGTGTTCGATTTATCCCAATTCATATCGGTTTCTGACTAGGGGAGTATTCAAAAGGTATGATGTGCACCACCAGGAATCTATAATTCGATCTTTATCGTTCTAAGGATTAATATTGGATCATTATTAGATCAGTTTCTCAGGAAAAGATTTAAATCCGTGGTTTTCTTAAAGAATGTTATGGTGAGCGTAAGAACAAGAACAGAGTGGGAGAAGAGAGGGGCGGAGCGGACCTGCTTACGGGAGGAGATGATGATGACGACAGCGCCTTGGAGGCCTAATCGCTGGGAGACGCCGAAGCCGATGCCGTGGCGGAGGCCGTCACGATCGCCACCGTGCTCTCTAATCTCCGCTTCCCTCCCATCTCGCTCCAGGAGTTCTGTTACAGAAGTAGACACTATATATGTATGCCTCCAAATTTTTTCCCAAGAATTTATTTTTTGGAAGGTATCCCTTTTCAAAATTATCAAACAATGACCCATATATCTAATCTTTTAAAAATGGCTCTTCAAAAAACTATCAATTTTTTTCATCCAAATCCAAAAAAAAATTCGTCAACCATTTACAGTGTGTTGTGGATTAGTTTTTATCCATAAAGCACTATATAATATTTTAAAAATACTATATGGTGTTTTTAAAATACTATACAATTTGGATTTTGAATAAATACATGATAGCTTTTGGGAGGTATTTTAAGATTTTTAAAATTAGAAATCACTGTTTGAGAATATATATATATATATATATATATATATATATATATATATATATATATATATATATATATATATATATATAGATTTTTTTTCTCAAAAAATGCCCCAACTTTCACTTTTCCCATTTGGTACCTCTTATTTCTTATAATGTCTCTAGTTGCTTTCACTGATCACCTCCATCGTATCAATTGTTACGTCTTATCCCGTGAGGTCCCACCACAATATCTATTGGGAAGGAGGTGACCATGATGGAGCTTCCTCTCGTCGCCCACCTCATTAGGTATTGTTCATGCAAACCCAAATGTTGTCTTGTCCTCTTAAATATTGTCACCACTTCTACCACAAAAGATCTCTATCATGTAGTCGCTACCAAGCACCTCCCCCTCATATTGATCATTTACCATAACTCTCACAATTTCCTCCTATGGTGTCGATTTATGGTAAAACATTGACTTCGTGACTATCTTAGTAAGGTAAGCATGTTGATACTTAAGGGGGAGAAGCGATGGATGGATTCGCTCAAGCAATGCTCGGCATAATGATCCATATGAGAGGAGGATAAGCTCAATCAAGATAATCTTTTCTTCACAATCAATATGACGAAAGGTGAGGGGACCTCGCGGGATGAAAGTCGTTATGAAAAAAAATGAAAAATGATATACCTTCCAAAAATATATTTATATATATATATATATATATATATATATATATGTATGTATATATATATATATATATATATATATATATATATATATATATATATATATATATAT